ACTTCTAAATAACAAGTGCCGTCCCCATGGTGAGTGATAAGCTCTGAAACCATTAGCAGATAGCATATGAGAACTATCTCTAAATAATGGCTGCCGGTTTATGAGTTTTGTCAGTCTTATATCCTTCTTCTCTAATATAGTTTTACTGTTTTTTATTAAAAGTTTAGTTTTTAAAAAGTTGGTCCAAATGATCGTCAAAAAGAGTTAAATAATATTTTTTAATTTTTTAGTATTTATTTAAAAAGAAAAAGCAAACGATTATGAATATATATTTACAAGTTCAGTTAGTAAATATAATACAATTAGACTAAGTTTTTGTAAAGAAGAAAAATAGCAAAATACAAATAGTCTATCAGTAGCTAAAAGAATTAAACTTTTTTATAATTTCTTTCCTGATCTTGCTAATCTTAGCCTTAATTCTCATTCAATTTGTTTAATACATTATAATCAAATTGTTATTAATAATTAGTTTTATGAGTATTTTGCAAGTTTTACTTAAAAAAATTAAATATCTCAACTTGATACTTATGAGGATAATCTAAGTATTAATATTACTAATTTGATAAATAATTTTAATAGAATTAAATGATTTTTATATTTGGTTCAACTAAAAAATCAGCAAAATCAGAATTAATAATAAAGCTTAATAGTTAAATTGAAGAAATACAGGAGTTTATATATGATTAAAAAATCGAAATAGAAGAGTTAAAAAGTAAATTAGATAATAAAGAAATCGAAATAGAAGAGTTGAGAAGTAAATTAGATAATTAAAAAGTGATAAAGAATAAGAGGAAGTTGGTGAATATAGGGTAAGATTAAGGGAAGAGCTTAATTGTATTTTGTGTCTTCGTCTTGTCGCTTAATTTGATTGTAATTCGATTACTTATTTCTTAACTTATTATGTCTCTAATTAAGCATTTCTGGGCCAAATGCTTATTGTTTTTCTGGATTCTGAAGTAAAATAAAAGAGTTAAGAAGTAAATTATGAAGAGCCTATAATAATATAGCTAAAATTTAAGATTTATGATGAAAAAATTAAGTATAATAAAGTGCTTGTTGAATTAGTGATTTGAACCGAGAAAAATTTCTTTAATCGGTTAACCGAACCGAATTATTTTATTCAACCGGTTGTCAACCGGCTAAGATTGCCTATCTCTACTTTTCGTTTTATCTTCGGAAATTGCTCATCTTTCATTCTCTTTTTGGAACTTTTCGGAACATTTACTCTCTCCTCAACCGATTACCCAAATTTCAACCGGATGTATCGGGTCAACCGATTAAGAATTTCCTCAATCGGTTAACCGAAATTATTCGGTTCGGGTCAATTAACCGATTATAGGCCAACCGATTCAAATCACTACATAGTATAACCACCATTATGCTCTCAGCTTAATATGGTTCGGAATTTTTCGGAATTAAAAAAACAAAACAAACTGCCGGCTTTTTCAAAAAATCGCCCATAACTCAAAATTTAATTATAGAACCATCTTCTGTGCATTGACAAAAAATTTCCTTGCAGAATTTTGGTATTAAAAAAGCTTTTTCTAAATTATCCTAACCCTAACTAACCAGTACCTAACCTAACATCGAAAGTTAATTTCTACAAAATACGAAAAATTTAGGTATATATATAGTTATCTATATACAGTAATGTAATTACAGTAGGATCCTGTTATGTGCCATATATATATTATGCAAACGATGTTGCATGCTACATAATGCTTAAAATTTAAAAATACACATAGAAGTTATTATGTAATTTCGATCTATATTTTATTTCACGACAAGATTATTTATAGATACATCTGCTATATAAATTTAATGGCTTATTATGTTTTCAAATCTGATAACCTCTTAATAATGATACAAAAATTTGTTCGCCGTGGATATCGGTTTTGAGCAGTGTTTGCATTTGGACTATGTCCAATAGAAATCTTGGACATGGACTAAAATTTTAAGTAGCGTTCCCAAAAAAATCGTTCACCCCTGTAATTTTGACCAATCAAATTTTAAGATCAGGTGTAGCGTGATAATCAAAACAAACGTGGTTTGTTTTCTAAGTAAAAAGTTTCGCGTAAAACTAAACCGCGTTATAGTTAGGGTTAAGGTGAGAACAACGTAGGGTTAGGGTTGAGTTTATTAGTAAAATTTCACGAGGAACATTTTTAATTAGGCCGCAGAAGGTTACTACTCAAGGGCGGAAAGATAATATTATCGAGGTTATTAAAGAACTTCCAATATGACCGATTCGTTCATCAAGGCCGAACGATTATGTTTCTGCAAAGAATGGAAAGCTGCCACCACGATATCTTTCTTGCTATTTGCCAGATACTAACATATTTATTGTGAAAGATGAATATTTTATTGTACTTGGTTTCCTAATTAAAATTTAGAGCTATTCTCGTTTTATTGTAAAAAAAGTGGCTTCGCTTCGATTTTTATGTTACACCTGATCCTGAAATTCGATTGGCCAATATTACAGAGGATGACCAATTTTTTGTAGACTAATCTCATCTTTTTCGAAATTTTCGGATTTAACACAGCCTTACTCTTTCGATTTGGAACATTTCGGAACAGGAGCTTACGTGTTTGATTTTGACTAGTGCCTTATGTCCAATGAAAAAATATGGACAATATAGACATAATCCATAAACGACCCAAACCTACTAGTTTGGGATTTGGTAAAATCCTCTAATTTGCCGTAATGAAACATTCTGAGATATAAATTATATTACGGTTAGAATTCCAAATTTTTACATGTAAAATCGGGTTTGGGATTCATCCCAAACAAAGAGATCGTTTAAAGTTCGCCACCTTGGCCAATAAGATCACGAAATTTTGACATCGAAACGCGATTTACCTTGTTTTGCATACTCCTCATATAGTCAACATTTCGTACACTCTGGATATTAGCAAAAAAATTTAAAACGTGATACTTTATATTAAAATTTTGAAAATTTTTGAAAAAAATGATGATATAAAAAGATTTTACTATGATATCGTTATATTCAGATGTCAGCATAGCCAGAGTGACGTGTATAACTTTACCGTTAGAATAAACCATTATAACAGGTTTCATTTTTTATGCCTGTATGCGCACACATATCTTCATGATATTATAGAATTGTGTTTCTTTGATCACACATTTCGATTGCATTTTCTCATTATATCATTTAAACTCATGCATACATCGAATACTTCGATTTTATATAGAAATCTCAAAGTGAAATTATAAGAATGGATTATCTAATCAGATGCGTTTAAATATAACCATATTCTTCGTTGCACTTCGTTCCTGATATTATCTGACAATCAATTTCTTCCTAAGTTTTAACGATGAATATGAATTCTGCTTGTTTATACCTGGCAACACTCAAACAAATTTTTTACGTGCTATTAGCTTAACTATATTTAATTAATTGATAATTGATCCATCCATGGTTCTTGAATTGGATTCGATCTTTATATTATCAATCTTTAAACATGGATATACCTGATTAAAAGTTAGATTTGTTGAATAATTTAAAGATTATTCTATTAAATGCCGAATATTTATTTAATGAATTGATAATTTTGAGTTTGACACTATTTACCGAAATGGGATACATAATTGGGGTTTGTTATGAACCAAACTAGGTAGAAATGCCGAACTAAAAAAAGAGTTTGGGTCGCAACCCTATATACTATACAGAATTGCATAATGCATGACAACATAGATCCTGCAAATGCCAGCATTAGGCCAGCATGCATGGCATGATGTCCATTTCTAGGCCAGACGCTGGTGCCTTGTGCCCGTGCCCATAGATACATAATTGCACTAAAGTATTAATTAACTAATGCCTGATATTTTACATCAATACTTACAAAAGCTCTTGGCTTACAGATCCCTACTAATAGGACTCGTCAAAACCAATTAATGTAAATCAAAAAATAATGATCACACATTTATTGCGGTTTGCAAAATTATGTGAAGTTTGCAGATCAAAAAAAATGTATACCTATTGATCATAATTTTTTCGATCAAATAACGTCTATATTTTATTCGAAATCTTTAGAATTACTAGAATCGGCTGAATTCTCATGATTTTACACGCCATTATGATCTGCAAAGGTCACACCCTTTTGCAAACTGCCATAATTATCATCCTCAATAAAAAAAAATGCAGGAATCAGATCCTTAACCTAAAAATAATACGTACGCCAAAAACAAAATAATCTATATGAATGATTTAAATTTTTTGTTTGGGCTTCTGCGCCATAACAGTACGTACGAGCAGTATAGAAGATATTTTCAATGTGTTATTAGTTCTCTATATGGAGATATATTTATCCTGTAAGTACAAAACATATATATAAACATACTTTGACTTTGCAATTAAATTTCGACTTTAAATTTTTATTTTGATAAAAAATGAGTAACATAACTGATATACCAGTACTACTTACAATCATAACAATATTTTTAAGTTTTTTGATTTTCGGTATACTTTACTACTTATACAAGAATGCAATTAAAGCAACTTTATCTTTTCTATTGATATCATGTATTTTAATATTTTTTTTTTATACCATTTTACTTTTCATTTGGATAATTCTTAATGTTGATGTTCATAAAATGGAACTAGAAAAAAATTCTGTATTTTATTTTCCAACATATAACCAAGATACAAAACAATTTGAATGTAAAGATTATTCAGAAATTCAAACTAAAACTTCTCATACTACCATCATTGATCAAATTTCGGAGTTTGGTGCTCTTGCAGGATTATTTTTTAACGTGGCCGTTTATGGTGTAACTTCTAAACTCAATTTTAAAAATACTTGTATTGTTGATGATTTTTTAATTCTCACATGTTTTCTTGTACCTATTTTTTCTTGGTTCTTTTCTGCTAAAATTGTTTTTGATTTTTTTTTATGATCATAATAACCCATCTTTCTATCTTAAACTCTTTTTATCTATTTTTATATATATGTTTTTACTTTCTATTTTAATTGTATGCTATTTAGTATGCGATTTTCACTGTATAGACCTACTTCCCTTCAAAAAAAAACAAAAAGATTCGCAAAACACTGAAGAGTCACAAGAATTATGCTTTAAAAAATTATCTCAAAAAAAATATAGTAGAATTAAGTCAGCTATTATATGGATTTGTTTTATTAATTCAGCATTACTTATTTTTTATGATTGTATGGAAATGCACCATAATACCAATTACACATTATCTGCCGATCCCTCATTTATAAATGCTCTTATTAATTTAGAATTTTTAAGCTTTCTTACAGATCTTATTTACTTTATATTAGCAACTTGGTTACTCGTATCTTATTTTTTTAAATCTGAAACAAGAAAAAAGAAACTTGAGGAAATAGAAAAAAAACATCCTAAGCACTTTACGATGAAAAGAGTTTTCTTCTTTGTCATATTCCTTTCTATAGTAGAATATTTCTTCGAATATGATATATATTGTACTCCTAAAAGTGTTGATACAATTTTCTTCTTCATTCTTTCCACCGTTTTAACTCGTTCAATTTCATCATTCTTTTCTCGTGGTAACGATATCAGAGTTGAGGACATTATGAAATTTGGATTTAGAAAACAAGATAAATGCAAACAATGTGATCATGAATTGAGATATGTTTTTCTACGAATTACTGATAAAGAACAAGCAACCAGATTATTAGGTAAGCAAAGGCTTTATTTGAAAGTTATTAATAACAATAGTAATAAAGAGCTATTTATTAAACTCATTCGATATATTTATGGGGCATGCGAACAATTTACTGGTTCTGGTCAAAATAGTTATAACAATAATGAGCAACTTATTAAATTCACTCGAAATATTTATAAGGAATTTATTGATCCCCATCAAGATAATGCTAAAAAGATTGAAAAGATTTATGGTAATAATCGTCGATTTGAAAACTCGTTCGAGATATTTATCGTAAAAAAAATGATGTAGATAAATCAAAAAGGGATTTCAAAAGGTGAACAAATAAGGCCGGTATATGAAAGACTCATAGCTAAAAAACTTATGAAGTATGCGAAAATTTATGTAAATATTCTTGAAACGGGATTATTTCAATATCTCATTTATTCCCATCGATCATACAAGGTGAAAAATAAGAAAGACACCGACGAGGAAAATAAGGATGACAACGACGAGGAAAATAAGAATGACAACGACGAGAAAAATGATAATGACAACGACGATGAAAATGATATTGACAACGACGAGGAAAATGATAGTGACAAAGAACAGGTTAATTGGTTTATAATTCCTGCAACTTCAGAAATCGAAGACAGTAAACCTCCCTAGCATGACCACCAAAATCAGTTACGTAATCGCTGTTTAAAATCCGAGATCTTGTAATCCAACACATTTTTATCATATTATACTATATCGATATATAACGATAAAAACTTTTATTAAGATATTATAACGATTTAAAATTTTTATTATAAAAATTTTATTATAAAAGGTATATTGCGTAAGATATTATAACGATAAACTTTAAAATTTTAATTATAAAAGATTTTTATTGCGTAAAAGAAAATGCCAATGTTCGTTCGAAATTATTGTGTGAGCTTTGTTATCTAACTTTATATACTATAACATGAAATGTTTATGTATTTTAAATTTATTACCAATAGAAAGTATTCTTGTTTCGGGTTTTTGGAAGGTTTGATTCAAGATTTTTTATGTCGTCTACCATCTTTTGAATCGGTTTGAAGCTTGATTCAATATTTTCAACTATTATCTTCGCTGTGGAAGGTTATAAGACTTTTCAAGAAGGTCATGCGTCTATATTAGAGTAATATTAATACGTAATACTTTTATTATGTTGTATATGTATAATTAATTCGATAAAAATAATTAATAAGCTATACCTCATGAAGAGTTTTTTATGCTGATCGATAATCTTCAATTCTGTTCTTCATCATTTGATTCATCTTCTGCAATATTATCATTGTCAAAAACAGTTGAATTAACTGTTATCGCTAAAAAAAAGTTGTACGTGTTCAGATGACATACGAATGTTCTTCCATATCGTTTTTTCAGTTTCTTCAATTTGAATTTCGCTGAACCTTAATTGAAAATTATTAATAATAAATATACATTATCAAAATACAATATAAATAAATCTATCAAACCTTTCTAAAGAATGTTACTGATGCTAATTTATTTTTATAAATCAACTCTAACAAGAATAGCACCTCTACAATCATAACGGTCCAATCGTGACTCTGTTGCGTTGCTTAAAACTATCTAAACATAGAAAAGCATAGGTACGAGTGGCATGTGATTGGAATAATGCCGGCAAGCCAAAGGTGCCGGAAATAAATTTAATTAAAGGACTTTAAGTCCGCAGAATACATTGTGAGTAATTTGAGCTGCGTAATTTGAGCTGAGTAATTTGAGATGATATGCTCCCGGAAAAATTAGCAAGTGAGATTGCGCCCAGGTATCATCGTAACGTAGAATGAGTGAGAAGCAGCATCAGCCGGTGGTTTCCCGCCTACTCGAAGCAGGCCGGCTGTTAAATAGGAAAATGGCAGAATCAGGAGACTACAATGTGTGGTGATAAGGGTTGGGTTGAGAAAAAGAGACGATTGTAATGCTTGGTTTGTTGAAAGAGGAACGAGTGTCGCAAATCAGTTATTTGTCGTTTCTTTAAATACTGATTGTTGTCGGTGGCTTACAGTTACATCACTCTATTCGCATGAAATTTCTGAAGTCTGATGTTTCTTTCGACCCCCGACCATGTTATTAGGCAGGGTTGTAGCACACGGCGTGTAACCCTGACCATTCTCCCCTGTCTTTTCGATCAGTTGACTCTTGCCAACATACAGTCAAACCCCCCAAAATGCTACCCCCCTAAATGCAACACCTCTTTAAATGCACGTCTTCTTTTGGGCCCAACTAATATTATATCTATAGA